CAAGTTTTGTATCCCGTTCTCGCGAGATGCGTAATAATTCTTCCAAAATAATAATTTCGATATTTAAATTGATACATAAAGAAAATTTTAATTGAAAAATTCGTCTCTTTCTTGTCTACGCTCGGTTCTTTTTGGTGAAAAAAAAAAGGAGAATATGAGTCTCGGATTTTCCTGCGTAGTCTCGGCGTACGACAGTTGCGGCCCTGCAAAGTAGTCACGGACAGTGCTCGTCAGCCGAAATTCCGGCCTTTATTCGGCACGCTCGTCGGCTCGAAACGAGCCGGCTCTCGGCGTATCGGCGACGCCTACTACTATTGTCGCTGTCGTTCAAAGCGCGGCGTCCGCGGCGGTGGCGGCGGATACAATATGGGACTGTCCGTCACTACGGAAAACCGCGCGTTTTCAGGGAGGAGGAAACGAGGGAACGCGCGTACGTACGCGTGTCCCGGCACGACGCGCGTATCGCCGCGCGCGGTGTGTGCGATGTCCCTCTCGTTTCACGGGACGCCGCGTCGAGTCGATCCGACCTGCCAATCCCCTCCGAATATACAGGCGCCTAGAGGCGGCTTTTTTCCCCGTCGATCTCGCGCCCATACATTGGCACGGAGAGGTAATACACGGGAGAAGGAGAGAGAGAGAGAGAGAGAGAGAGAGAGAGAGAGAGAGAGAGAGAGAGAGAGAGAGAAAAAGAGAGACACGATGTTTTTTTTTTTTTTTTTCGTTTATCCGTCTTATCCGACGTGGCGCCTTGTCACGCGTGTCATATCGACGAAACTTGTCGCCGTCGACGAATCTCTCGTCGAGTCGCGAGAGATTCTCGAGTATATTCGACGATGGGGAAAAGCACGCGGAGAGGAGAAACGGATTGAGCTTGGAACGTCGGAAGGCTGTACAATGGATTTCTCCACGTCAAAGTGAGTGACTTACTAATCCGACCTGGCAACTAAATTGATACTTAAAGGAATTTCAAGTGGAATTTGCAATTTGAAACTCCACTCGTAAAGTAGAATCCACATTATCGAGCTAAACTTCGAGCCGAATCTATGGAGACGAATTTGAGAACTTCAAACTTCTTTACAGGGGATTCAATTCGCTAATATAAAAATATCTCACCCTCTCCCTCCGAATTTGTTGCCCATATAGTTAAGTGAAAATCCAAAAGTGTGGCGGTACTTATAGCGTTACGTACAAAAGTAAAGAGCATTAAACAAATTATTTGCTGTGCCGATTTCGGTTTTAAAACGAACGATATCCCAAATCGGCACAGCAAATAAAACGCTTCCTGTGCCGCTCTCGCGTGACAGAGATGAAGGAAGACGATTAGTTTTATATGACGAGCCGACTTCCGAGCGCGAGTCGGCGTGGTATACGCGCTCCGAATGGCTGCTCCAATCGCGATGAGACGGGCAAGCTAGCGCGGCTCCTCTAATTCATGCTAATTTCGAGGCCGGAAACTTTTTGCATCGCTTAATTCAATTAGTTCCGCTGTTTGAATGCGGCAATTAGCATATTAACCTGACTACGCAAACCTGACCGCGCGCCGAGCCGTGCGCGCACGAGCGGAGTACGCACGACTTTTCGACTTCTATATACGTAACGCATCCCCTTTCCTCGCGGGTGTCCCGCCCTCATTTTATCCGAACCTGTTTCGAATAGCGCTATTATGATGCAAATTGAAAGTTAATATTTTTGTCCCGCGACGAAAATATTATTCGTGGCGAAAGTAGAGAAGGCGTCCGTAAATCCGTAGCCGAAATCCAATTTAAAACCGCAACGTTGACGACGTTGCTCGCGCGAATTTGCATAATCGAGTTGTACGATTTCGAGGGTGCCGGATAGCCACCCTTAATCTAATCAATCGTTAATCTAACCGTCTTCTTTCAAGAAGATCAATGTGTCGATCTCGATCAAACGTAAAAATGCAATTAATCGTACCTTCAGCAAGCAAACAGAGAATTGAAGAGTTTGCTGCAACAGTAGGCTAACCTACATTTTATAACATTTTATAAAAACGGAGAAAATAAACTCTAAAGCTCATCACATTAACTTTAGCGTTCATTTTCTTCGTCATTTTCTTGTCACAAAATGTGTGTCATAAAATTTTCAAGTTACTTAAATCTTTATGATTTTTAACGCGTCGACACACGAAAGAACGATTTTGCACATTAAGTTTAGAGTTCATTTCCTGCGTCGTTTTCTTGTTACAAAATGTGTGTCATAAAATTTTCAAGTTACTTAAATCTTTATGATTTTTAACGCGTCGACACACGAAAGAACGATTTTGCTGGATACAGATAAACTGAAAATAATTCTTGTTGGACCAACAAAATAAGTTTATTGGAAAGTCAAACTGATTGCTATAATATCAAACCGTTTTACAGCAATGCTTATCATTCTTGAGTTTCCAACAAAATTATTTTGACGATCAAACAAAATTATTTTCACATCAAAACTGTTTGACCTTCCAGCAAAATCGTACCGTGCAGCACTACTCTGTTCATCTGCAACGAAAGTGAGTTTCCGGGGAATCCAGTTACGGATAATTTAACGAAATCGAGTTCCAAAGAGGAGTCGAAAGAGTTCGCGGCCGAGATCGATGTACCTAGTAGGTAGAGACGGGAAAAGTTGCCGAGTCGAAAACTCTCCGGTTCTCCGGTATATGCTCATCGTCGAAAACGCGGAACGGACACAATAACTGATCGCTTCTACAACTTCTTTCGGCGAGCTCTCTCATTCAAGGCCGCCCGGCATTGTCGGAAGCCTTCCACGGCTGTCCGAATGAATAACGCGCGGCGCCTTTTGTGCGCCTGTCGGAAAACGTTACGTTGCTCCGTTAATAAGTAGTACGATAAAATTGACGCAGCGAGCTCTGCGGGCGCGCGACGTTTTAAAGCAATAATTAATGTCGGGCATGCGGAATGAGAACGCGGATAATGCGGGGCTATTTCTTGATACATTAAGCAAATGTTGAATGACCGAAAGAGTCGTTTGTAAAAAGATGTATAGATGTACAAACATTCCACCATTCAGCCTCTAAATCGTAATTCAATGAAATGACGTCTAATTAAATGAGCTATTATTAAAATAATGAATCTAGAATTTTTAAAGAAAAACTAGGATTAAATTTTAAATAGAGATTTAATTTAATTATTCGGCGTACTAATAACTAATAAATAAAAACATAACGATACATATATAAAATATACAATATATTATAACATACTATAATATAATAATGATTTGAAATATACATCATATGTTATAATATATAATATTTAATACTAATTGCAGATTATTCTGCAATGCAGGATTAGTTTTAAGCAACTCTATAAATCGATTTCTTATTTAAAAAAGATGTTTCAAGATAACTGCTGTCTCTGACCCGAGGTTATCCGAAAAGATCATTAATCTAAGGAATTTACCTAAAGCTTATCCTACGCTTATCGCAAAGTGTGTAAGATACCTTATAAGATTGATGCAAATAAAAGGGGAGGATAAAATAAAGCATAGGATTTTTCCAACAAATATTACTCCCAACTACTCCAAATTTTACTTTACATTAAATGCAGACTATATATTGGAGGGTTGTTAAACATTTAATTTAAATCAATCTGAATCAGGACGAGTCTTGCGTCTGACATTTTGCGAGTAATATTTCCAGCCGAAAAAAACTTCGACGGAAGGTAATCAAAATCGAGCAAATTAAATGGCGAATAAAATTGTTACATTTAGCAACTTTTCAGAGATGCACTCGTTTCGAGCGCAAATTGCATTTCGCGGCGATTGAATCGGAACGAAGTACTATATGCAATAACGGTAAGTTAACTCCGCGTGAAGGTTGTTTAACGTATGCGCAAATGAAATTTATTTCACGAATTCAAAACCGTTTAAATTTCCGTGTGTAAATTACTTTTCGTATATATACATGTATTGTTACATCGTATGACAAAGAACATTTAATAGCAGAAGAAATAAAGGCATCTGTCGCTCTTTACTGTCACCGAACTTTATCCGATACCTAAAAGTTAATACCTAAAAGGTACGATCACTTTCGAACTCCAAGAAAATTTCTCATAGTTTAAATATTCTTGTCGTCGTGGTCGAGAAGAAGAGGGACAAGGAAAGGCTCGATTAAACGCATGCAAATGCGATTGCACGTGACGACGAAAGAGTTTAATATCTGTCGTGCTTTATAAAGTCGCCGCGCGCGCGTGAGAGGAGGGTCAAATGAATTTCATTAACTCGTTAGGTCTACCGTCGCCGTCCTCATTGTCGTTGTCGACGTTACGCAGCACGCGAAACGTCGTTAATTTCGGAGTAATCGCCGTATTGGCGCGTGCAGCGAATATCCTCCTCTCTTTCACGCCCTAACGACGAGAGAGGGAGAGAGGGGAGAGAGAGGGGGAGAGAGAGAGAGAGAGAGAGAGAGATGAGATCCAATTTACTATGGAGATCCTACGTCACCCCGGCCTGTCGAGGAAATCAATTACGTCGAATGAATACAACATGAAGGGTGTAAAGGGTTAGCCGCGAGTCCGCGACCGGTGTGACCGGAGCGTTGAACGACACGAGATGCGTCGCGCGGACACGAGGAGGGAATTTCAAGAGAGAGCCGACGCAAAGAGCCACGAACAGATTTGATTTGTCAGGACACAGAAATCGTCGCCGACAAATCTCGTTACGCGGCTCGACCCGACGCTCGTGATTAGGGCTTAAAAGTTTCTACCCTCCTTGCGCTTGCGAAAAACCTTCGATCACTCGGTAGAGAGACGGAAGTCTTGTGAAGGTAACGAATAGCTTACGAGAGTGTTGTATATACACAGTAAAAGTACTAAAATAAGTAGCAATTCAGATTCATACACACATGAGAATAATTTTATAAGATAATATAATAAATATCGCTATAGATTATTCATCAGATTTATCGTAATTGTTTTTTCCTTTCGTCAAAATGTAAAAATAATAAAGCAGCAAAACGTGCTTTAATATATGTAACGAACCTTGGCGGGATCGGACTTCTCCTGCTGTTCGTTGAAGGTCTGCGAGGCTCTGGACATGGTGTTCCTTCGCGTTGTCGTCGTGCCATCTTGCGAGGGGCGCACGAATTCGATTCTGCCACCCTCGACAACGATGTTGGGGGCTGGTGGAAAATTCTCCGTGTTACCGACCGTGTCGCAGTAACCCAAAAGGCCGGCTTTCTCCCCGTACAGGGGGTGGATTTGCCTGCAACAGAGGGTAAAAGCTCGCTGAAGAATGCTTCGATAACAGCAGATGGTGTCTTATGCCGTGAGGAAACCAATGAGCATCTAATGATATCCCATTATTATTGCAATATTTAATTTCTCCTTGTATGTAGAATATAAATATTTGTGAAATATCAAACATTTATATTCGATTTTTTGATTGGTTACGTAAGAATGAGAATTTTAAAAATAAAATATAAACGAGATAAGCTAAAATGATTAAAAATCAAATATGCAAGGCAAGCATACAAGCCGGAATATTTGAGAATATTTATCTAAAATAATTAAGTCTAGGTCAATCATTAATGACATGCGTTTTCGAAAAATCCAATAATATTTTCCGCTTGAAATAACATTCTTTTAACTATATTACGCTGTCATAAAAATATCCTATTCCTTTTACTAATTTTCGACAAATTTTCGATATTTTGTATTTAAATTGTCTCTTAACTTCTTTTGCGTAAATGTAAACAACGATGCTTTCGTTATTCATTTCGTTATTTAATTAAATTACGCAATTAATTCACGCGAGTAGCGCGAGATGCAGATCAACGTGTGCACTCTATAGCGTTATGCAAGCGGAAAAGAGTGACTTCAAGCGCTACGACAAAGGCTATTCGCTCGGCAATTCTCTTCGCAGCGTGGCAACGAGAGACGCGAGTGACCGATATCGCGCGGACAGATGCATTTGCGTATCAATGTCAATAATCTCGCCGGAGAGCGGCGCGGCAATAGGATTACAGAGCAAGAACCGTTCCACTTTCGATGATTATTCCCGAGCCTTAAATCCATCTAGCCATTAAGTCTCCTTGCGTGATGCGTATGCAAATGCCCATCTCACTGTGTCTCTCTTCTCTCTTTGTTTTTCTCTCTGTGCCACTTTTATTCGCGACGCAATAAAAATGTAGGATCAATAAAGGCGTGGAAGTTTACAAGGATTTAAAAGCAAAACTTTCAAGTTTGAGAGAAAAAGAGAGAACATTCATCTCGTCGAATTATAATCTGATATCCCTGACGAGCACGGTTACAAACGTGAAAAGTTACTTTGTATAATTGATAGCGATTAAAAAGAGAGAGGAAAAAAATTATTTGAAATAATAGAATATAAAAATAATGACTGAAACGTTCAAAAATAGTTAATAATAAAAAAATATGTTTTCGCAGTTTTCATAATACTTATTTCTTATGTAAAACTAATTAGCGTATTTCACAACTGTATTGTAATATCGGTAAATTTACCTGGGGGATGGTATGGGGCGAGGTTTGTCGAGCGCCAGATCCGAGCTGAGGGGTGAATCGGGTCCGCGGCCGCTGGAAGCCCTGAAACATGAACGGAATTATTGTTAGTTAAATTAATATCCGGAAGCCAGTGGCTAATGATCGATCGATGAAGCTGTTTTTGTGTCCAACATCAGAGTTCAATGTTCTCTAAAGATTCGTCGGTTCATATCAAAAATAATGCCCCAAAATAATGTCGCGATATCTTTTAGATCTTGCGCGACAAAATTAGATAAATGCTGTGATTTATAAATAGAAAATGACAGAGATTTGGTGATCCAAGACACTAATAATCCTTAAGGTAGTTAAATGTAATAATACTTATAATAGATACAAATAGACAAAAAATTATAACAGATAAACTACCTAAATATAAATAGACATAATAGATCGAAATCCTTGACTTTCTCATCTACAGAGAGACCGCTATTCATATTCTTTACACACTTTCGATTTACAACGTAATCACTTCTGCTCGATTGAAACCGAACGAGCCTTGATTTAGCATTCGCGCGTGGCGGCTGATAAACGATTAGAGAGATCCGTTAGGCACGCGCGCATAAATCCCACCGGAACGAGGGGGTTCGTCCAGCATCCGAGGTGCGCGCTTTCGCGCGTCTCGAGTCCGAGAGACCGCCGCCGCGCGGCCCTCGCAGCGGGGAGTGTCCGCGGCGCGGCCGCGGGACGAAAAGTTCGAAGACCGCGCGGCGAACGTGGCGCGTTGCGCAAGAGTTGCGTGATTCCGTTTGTATACCTCGCTCGCGCGCTCGCCGTGCACGCCGCCGCGCCGCGAGACTTCAATATTCATATTTCATCCCGCCCGGTCGACTGGATATCGACCGTTGATTCTGGCACCCGACGTGAGCTAACAGGTCGGGCGAATAATTCACACACACACACACACACAGCCTCGTGGATCTCGATAAAATAATAATTCGACCGGGATAAATGTAACGGCGCTAGCGCTAGCCCCGCGCGCGCGGTGACCGTGGAATTTCGAAATTAGACGGGAATAAAATTAGAAATTTACGTTCGGCGGGGGAGAAAATTCGTATCGCTCCCAATGTGAGAGAACGTTGCATAGAAATGATTAAAAAGATACGAGAGCTCAATAGAGGCAAAGTTCTCACATTCTCAAGTTTTGTGCTCGATTAAAGTTACTATCTGACTCTTTATCTCATTGTGCATTATTTCCAAGGACAGGAATATACGTTGGGAACAGATTAATTCGCGCACGACTCGAGTATAAGAGCGCATTATAAATCATTAATAATCGCGAATCGTTATCGCCAAGGCGGTGTTTCCGCATTGCTTAAACTCCGATTTTGCGCAAACGTCTGCTATATATATTGTATTTTCAGTGCGATTTCATCGTGTCGCGTATTTCGCAAGAGTCAATTAAGCAATAATAACAGACGATTAATCAGCGATAAATCGCGGAGCGTCGCCGTGCAGCCTCGCCGCTCGCGCAGATCCGCTCGAGCGGCGTGTTTTTGCTCCACCCCGGTCGCTCGCTTCCGCTCGCAAATCCTCTCCGGGCCGCCGCATTTGGAGCTCTTGGCAGTCGCTCAGAAACGTCCGCGATGAAATATCTAGCACGGGTGACTTTGATCTTCCATGGCGCGCGCGCGCGCTCGAAAAAACGACCAGGATACGCGGGCGTGCGTTGTACGTGCGTGTTCACGCTCGTCCGCGAATGCGTGCGCATATTGCTCGGAGAATCAGGAAGTCCCCGTTGCTCTGTGTGTGTGAGACGTTTGCGATACCCGGTGTCGAATGTCAACGAACTTCTAACGTTGCCGTTTGTAACGTCGAATAAATTTCAATAGATAAACATGTATTTTAAGTTTGAGTTAGAATAGTTGCTCTCAAAATCTGAATCAGTGGAAAAGTCATTGATTGAGTCAGTAACGCCTTGCATCGCTAATGAATAAGTAAAATAGAGTCGAATCCACTGTGCAATTAAGTGAGAACAGCGAAGTCCACTGATTTGTCAACGATTATAGCAATTGTTCATTTATTTATTAGTGATTTCCGAGAGGTAATGAAGTTGAATTTCTCTGATTATCAGTGACATACTGATGCGTTCAGTGAATAACCATTGATAATCAGTGACTATCCACCGATTCAGATTTAGAGTGATTTAATAAATAAATGTGTATTTTACATCAACTAACAAGTTAAAATACACGTGTTTTAATAAACATGTATATTTTAACGTTAATGTTAAAATACACGTGTTTTAATAAACATGTATATTTTAATGTTAATGTTAAAATACAGATATTTTAATAGATAAAGTGTATATTTTAAGTTTAAATTAAAATAAAGATAAACTTTCATAAATCATATCAGGAATCGTTTATATGTACTTGGATTGAAAGATCTTTTCCTAAATCTTTTGTGCGCATCTCGAGGTTATTGCCCGGCAACGGCAGTTCATCTGAAAAGGAATTTTAACATTAACTTTAACCACGGAGAACTTAAATAAGATGAAGGAGAGTTAACAGATGCGCTTCGACGGGACACCCGATACACGCATCGTTCGCGCAGGACAACACGCACATGCAGCCCGTCGTGGCGCGGCGGCGACAGCTGCGTCCGTATGGAAGCGCAACGAAATCTCTCGCGCGGCTGACCCTCCTGCTCGCATTCTCACGCGGCACGGAGGGTGGTGGGTGAATCACCCTCTCGCTGAAATTCTAAAACCGCCGTGTTTCCCAAAAGTCTATTACGGAGCGCTTAGAGTCACGCGCCTCGGTATTTCTGCGTGCGCTGCAGCCACCGCTGGACCGCGCGCGGCTTGCGTTCCCGACGATCGTTGCAGCCGGCGCACCAAAAGCTAAAAGTCTCGAGCGTGATTTACCTATTTGTTGATGTTCGACGAAAGCCTCGCTCGAGCGGAGGTCGAACAAAGAGGGGAATCGTGGAAGTCCGGCAATTAATTTCACTGCCGCGCGTCGTCTCGGGGCGAACAAGGCCCGAGTGGTTTCAATATTCAAATCGTCGTACACTTTTAGACTCCGCGCCGCTTATTCGACGACGCAAGATCGCAGCTATCCGTCTTATTGACGCGGCGCAAACAAATTTTTCCCACGATATGGCCCACGATTTCATTTTTTTTTCTCGCGCTAATTGTGTTTACAGAGCTCAATTGAGTTTGAAGTTCCGCTCGAGAAAATATAATTTACGAGGGCTGAAAGCGTGATACAGTGAGACATGCCGCAGCGGCGGGAAAGAAGAAGAACGGTGTGTGTTTTTTTTTTTTACACCGGGAGTCGTATCGCGTCAATCGTGATGAATTGCGCGCGGCGAGAGAATTCCGAGCTTTTCAAATCTCTTCCACAAACGCTGGCTTGGCTCGACCTTTCTTCTCCGCGGTAAAAGCCCGCGCGAGAATGCATCTGAAAAGACTGCAAACCCCCGCGCGCGCGCGAAACGCGCAGCGGCACTTAGCCACGCCGTTTATCCTCTTTTTCAGCGGGTGCGCCTTTCGCGCACTCGTGTAACTTCGCTCAAATGCTAGGTCGTTAAGTCGTAACTGAGAAAAGGGCGAAGAAAGAGAGGGTGAAAAAAGGAGAGAAAGGAGAGATAGCTTCGGAAAACAGGCGAAGGATCGAGAGCGGTCCCGGAAATTCGCGCGTTGCGAATTGAAACAGAATCCAACGTACACTTCGTCAACGTTGTCGTCGTCGTCGTTGTCGTCGTTGTCGTCGCCGCCACACGAGAGACGCTCTCTTGCTCGAGAAACCTAATTTGTCGACCGGAGAGCAGCTTTTACGTGCGTGTCGTAAAAATTGCGACGTTACGTCTTCCGACGTCGGGGAAACGCGCGACGGTCGGGAACGAGTTATTTCGCGCTCGCCGTGCAATGCCTGTCATTCTCTCCGCAGCGAGAGTAAAAACGACGGAAGGAGAGCGGAGGAGCCTTTGAAAGAGAGTCTCTCGGCGGAAAAATAAAATCACGTCGCCTCGGCAAAAATGCTGCGTCGCACGTAATGACGAGATCGCGTCGTGTGTATATCTCGTACCGCGAAAGCCGGCAGATTTTGATGGGACAATTCGAGAGCGACCATAATTTTAAACGAGTCGCTCACGCCCGTGTGTCGCAAACTAGATTAAATTGCATATTAAAATCCCCTTAACTGCAGGACCTAATTTAATAAGAAAACGACGTTTAATTAATCTTTAAGTGAAAGATAAGTGAGAGAAAGGGAAAGAGAGCTTTGATTAAATACTTCTTAAGTGAAAAATCTCTCCTTGAATTTAATATAATAAAATATATTATAATTAAATTTATAAAAATTATTTGTAAATTGTATAATATTATAATTGTATGAATTCAAAAAATAATTAATTTAAAAATTTATAAAACTGATTTCTGTTAAAATTATAAATTTTAAAAAGGAAAAACGATAGTTTGAACTGAGTCTAAGTGATAATTACTTTCGAAAAACGTAGCAAGAACTCACGTTGTTGCGGTTCGGTTTTAGAAGTGCAAGGATCAATCCGTAAATTTTCGACAACCGAGAGGACTTGATTGACAGGGCAAGCGCGCAATTTACCGAAGGAATCGTAGCGCGGTTCTTCTTCCTGTTCGCGCTCCGCATAACGTAATCCGGCGATAGGCCGAGGTGCCAGCAGCAGCAGCAGCCGGTAACGGTACACCCGCCATGCGAATATTCCTGCGAACGCGAAGCGGCCGGTGTCGGATGTGCACGTGCATTAGCGGGCGTCGGGGTCCCTTCGTCTTCGCGATGTAACATTATATTCCTTCTCTCGCGCGCGCGCGCGAAAGAGCACACGGCACGTCGCGTCGGCTTCGCGCTGTGTCGCCGCCGCCGCGCCGCGCCGGTTCGGCTTCGTCGTCGTGTACAGCTTCGCTAACGAGAACGCGCTGGGAAGGACACGCAATTATTTTCAACAGATAAGCCACGTTATCGTGTGTGATATCTTCGCACGCACAAGAGAACGCGGGAAAATATTTCAATGAGAATTGAGAGATCAAGAGAATACAATTAAAACTATTTATCCGCGTTATC